TTTGATCTTATAAAAGCGTAAGGGTCAATTTAATATTAGGCTTTCTGATTGTTAAATATGTAATAGCACGTTGTACTCCTTCAGTGTCTTTCATCTGAGGCCTTCAACGTGCTTCATAAAACCTTACTAATTAATCAAGTCTCCCAGCACAATTGTTGCCGCTGTTCTTAGGTTCTGCCAAGTTGCTTCCAGTTCATCCTCACCCTCCGAATAGCAGAAAGAGACCTTGCCCACTCTTGCATCACCCTCAAGATCATTGCTAGGCATGGCTCATTTTTGTAGCCACTGTATAATCCATCTCATTGAAGGTCTTTCCCTTCCCATTGAACCTCTATGTTACTACACATCATATATTTTTCCAGGGACTGGTCCCTCCTGGTAACATGTTCAATGTCTTTGAATTGTGATGATGGTAAAGAGATATATCCAGGCTTCCAAGGAGCATTCTGACTGTCCTTCTTCCAAGACAGATTTATTCATCCTTCCGGCAGTGCACAGTACATTCAATATTCTTCACCATCACCATACTTCAAGTACATCAATTCCTTTGTCTGCCTTAGTCATTGGCCAGCTTTCACATATTTGGGTCAACTATACCCTTAGTCCTCAAAGTCATATCTTAAAAAAAAAAAAGTTAAAGATATCTTTAGGCAAATTTTTGCCCAGTCCAGAATACCATTTGATTTCTTGACTACTGCTTCCATGGGAGTTGACTGTGAATCAAGTCAAGTAAAATCCTTCAAGGCTTCCATAATTTTTCTATTTTCATGATGTTGGTTATTTATGCAGTTGTGGGAATTTGGTAATTTAGGTATATTATTATAATTATTTATATTGAGTAGGCTGGAAAATAAGAAGTCACTTGGTGAAAGACTAAGAGATAGAGGTCAGGTAGGGCAACGACAGAACCAGACAAAAGTTCACATTGTCAGGATTTCGTTCTTAAGAATTCCCAGCCTATTTGAAAGGCCTTCCCCCACTTATCATATATTTATGCACTATAAAAATCTCACTAGTGCTTGAGGGCAGAAGAAAATACCTCCCACTCATTCTTCTCTTTTGTAGTATTTAAATTTTGTGTCGGCTTGAGTGGGTCAGGACTCTCAGTAGTTTGGAAGTGCGATCACCCATGCTGTGACCTAGCAGAATGCGGTCAACTCCATGGTGAGCTCTGCTTTGAGCAGGGCAGCCGCTGTAAGAAGATGAGTGTAGAGTGTAAGCTCTGTACTGAGGTCACACTGCTGGTGTCATTGAAAAGTTTCCACACACAAGTGGCCTACTCCCTATGTAAATCGATGCTGTCAAAAGCTTGCTTGTTTGTTGCTAGGCCAAGATTCTGCATTTGATTTGTCAACCTCTGATTCTTTCAAATTGAGCCATGGCCTGCCCCAACCTGCTGATTCTAGGACCCATTCATGGTTCACCATCTGATCTGCCAACCTTGGATTTGTTCACATCTCAGTCCCAAGCCTGACTTGCTGACCTTGGATTCATCTGCCTCTGCACCCTGTAGTGCTACTGAGTTCACCAGCCCCAAGTCTGTGCATGTCAGAAGCGTTCAGCTTAACCTTGGACCCACAGACTGGAAACCAGACTGAACTTGCCAGCTTCTACAACTGTGCGAGCCATTTTCCTGATATAAATTCTCAATCTCTCTCTCTCTCTCTCCTTCTCTACACACACACACACACACAGACACACACACACACACACACATTTGCTTTGTTTTGCTTCTCAAGAGAACGTGGCCTAACACCCCTTTTCATCTCCCTGCATCCCAGAGATGCGGACCTCCTAAAAACAGATGGAAACCCATAGAGAAGATGCTGACAGATTTTGAGAATTTTTGCAGAAATAATTTGTGTGAAAGCTATTTGTAAGGTTACCATAATAATGTGTTATTTTTGAGAACAGTGAACCTGGAAGTGCTTCGCGGCAGCCGCCCGGGCTACTGTTTTGAATGGAATTGGGCTGATTCATCGCCGGTTCGCAGAACCAGAACCAGGCCAAGTGTGAGCCCCGTCGCCGCGCCTCGTCACGGCAGCTGCAAGTCCAGGGTTTAGACCGCGTCCTGCCGGCTTTCTCTCGCTTTCAGGAGAGAGGGGGGAAAAAAAAACCTTGGAAAAAATACGTCTGCCAGAATTAGCAAGAACTTAAGCTAAGCAGAAACTTACAAAATTCAACAAATTAACACCTCAAGAGTTGTATTTACTGACCAGAAATATGGACAGACTTCTTAGACGTGGAGGAGGCATGCCTGGACTGGGCCAGGGGCCACCTACTGATGCTCCTGCCGTGGACACAGCGGAACAAGTCTCTATCTCTTCCCTGGCACTGTTGAAAATGCTCAAGCATGGTCGTGCTGGAGTGCCAATGGAAGTAATGCGTCTGACGCGTGGAGAGTTTGTTGACGATTACACCGTCAGAATGATCGATGTGTTTGCAATGCCACAGTCAGGAACAGGGGTTAGTGTGGAGGCGGTTGACCCAGGGTTCCAAGCCAAAATGTTGTATATGTTGAAGCAGACAGGAAGGCCTGAGATGGTGGTTGGTTGGTACCACAGTCACCCTGGCTTTGGATGTTGGCTTTCTGGTGTGGATATTAACACTCAGCAGAGTTTTGAAGCCTTGTCGGAGAGAGCTGTGGCAGTGGTTGTGGATCCTATTCAGAGTGTAAAAGGAAAGGTTGTTATTGATGCCTTCAGATTGATCAATGCTAATATGATGGTCTTAGGACATGAACCAAGACAAACAACTTCAAATGTGGGTCACTTAAACAAGCCGTCTATTCAGGCATTCATTCAGGCATTCATTCGTGGACTAAACAGACATTATTACTCTTATCGGAAAAATGAACTGGAACAAAAGATTTTGCTAAATTTGCATAAGAAGAGTTAGATGGAAGGCTTGACACTTCAAGACTACAGTGAACATTGTAAACACAATGAATCCGTGGCAAAAGAGGTGTTGGAATTAGCCAAGAATTACAAGAAGGCTGTAGAGGAAGAAGTTAAGAGGACACTAGAACAGCTGGCAGTAAAGAACGTTGGCAAGCAGGATCCCAAACGTCATTTGGAAGAACATGTGCATGTACTCATGACTTCAAATAGTGTCCAGTGTTTAGCAGCTATGTTGGATACTGTGGTATTTAAATAAAGCAGTGTAAAAAGCGAACCGTGATACTCCCAGCGTCTGTTCCTCTATGGTTCCTACTGCTCAAAATCAAGGGACCTCTGAAGGTGTATTTGGTTAAATGTAAGACATCGGGCATCATTTGCAGCGCTGTAACACCTTCAGTCTCAGTTGTGCAATTACTTCTGTTTCTTTAGTCAAGGTCCTTGCAGATTCCAAAGTTGTACAAGAATACATCAAAACGGACAAATTTTGTTAAGTTCCCATTTAATATTGGAATAAATCAATAACACAAATATATTTTGATTGTTGCTTACACAATAAAATACATTTACAATCTAAAAAAATTAATAAAAATAATGTGTTATTTTTAATAATTGAAAAACCATAATTCATTCTAAAACCAAACTCAAATTCACTGCCATCGAGTCAATTCTAACTTGTAATAACCCTATAGTAGAGGAAAGAGCCGCTCCCGTGGGTTTCTGAGAACATACCTTTTTGCAGGAGTACAAGGTCTCCTCTTCCCCTGGGAAATGGCTGGTGGTTTTAAACTGCTGACTTTGTGGTTAGCAGCCCAACATGAAACCTCTATGCTACCAGGGCTCCTTTAATCATTAATGCAATAAAAAATATTTATTAAACATCCACTATGTGCCAGGTATTATTCTGAGCAGTGTGGATAGAGCAGCACATAAAACAGACCAAGCTTCTGCTCTCAAAAGTGTCATGCCACTAAGTGAGCAGCAAAAGGAAGAGAAAGCAAAGAGGAAAATTGACCAAGGAAGGACGGGCAAGAGGAATGCCATTTTAGATAGATGTCAAGGGGGTGGCATTTCAGCAGAGGCATAAAAGTACTAGGGTGTCCATTTGAGTGCTATAGGAGGAGAGATCTTTCCAGACAAAGGAAATAAATAACACAGGCCAAGGTCATAAGAAAAAAAGATACACTTGGTTTATCCCAGAAAAAGCAAAGAGATCACAATGGCTGCAGAGAAATGAACAAAGTGGAGATCCAAGGGATGAGATCAGGTAGGAGCAAAAGAGGAAGTGGCACTCAGGTCATGTAAGGCCTCACAGGCCATGCAAAGGGTTCTGGTTTTGTTCAGAGGAAGAAATGAAGTAAGGAAGTGGTTTTAGCAGAGTAGTAAAATGGTCTGACTTACCATTTTTAAAGTTCACTGTAGCTACACTGTGAGAAGAGACTGAACAGATGAAAGTAAGGGGCTATTTTAGTCAGAGACCCTTTTAAAACTCTAGATTTGAACCATAGTGTTGTGATGAGACCACACCAAAAGCAAAGATCAAATTCACAGTCACGGAGTCGATTCTGTCTCGTAGCGACCCTGGAGAACAGGCAGAACTGCCCTTGTCAGGTCCTTTCAGGAGCGGAGAGGCGCATCGGGAAATATTGCAAAGGCTGATGTCCATGAGAATGTTGAGCGCAAGGGGAAGAGGCCCGCTGATGACCCGTATGTGGCAATTGTCAAGGGAACACAGTCGTGAGGCTGAGTGAGCTCTCCAGGAGAATGAAACACACACCAAACGTGTTGCCGTCGAGTCGATTCCAATTCCCGTAGGAAGGAAAGAGAAGAGATAGGAGACTGAAATGATACTGAATAAGATGTGGTCTGAAAATCGAGCATTAGACAATGCAGCAGGATTTTACCAGAGACCTCAAAGGACAATTTCGAGAGAATGATGAGTCTAAAAGTCTGAAATGCAGAGATCACTTTTCCTCCCTTGCATGAGTGACTTTTTAATTCCTGAAAGGGACCCTGGCAGCAGAGCGGATATGCATCCGGCTGCTAATCTCAAGGGCTGTACTTCGAAACCTCCACAAGTGCACGGGAGAAAGATGGGGCTTTCGACTTCCATAAAGAGTTACAGTCTCAGAAACTCACAGAAGTAATTCTACCCTCTCCTGTAGGGTCACCGTGCGTCAGCATCCTCTCGATGACAATGAAGTCATTTTGTTGTTGTTGTTGCTGTTGTTACAGTTTCTGAGTCGTTCCTTCTTGTTAGGGAAATTTCTCTAATGCCCTGGTGGCACAATGGTTAAGTGCGTGGCTGCTGTCCTCAAGGTTAGTTATTTGTTTAGACTCACCACCTGCTCTACAGGAAAAGGAGGTCAGACTCTGCTTCCATAAAGATTACAGCCTTGGAAATCCTATGGGCAAGTTCCCTTCTACCCTTTCTGGTTGCCACGAATCAGAATTTGCTGGATAGCCATGTGTTCATTGTTAATTTGAGTTCTACAATATAGTGCTTGCATAGCTCTAGCTTACTACTGTGATCTTTACATCGATTTTTGTTGGTTTGTTTTCTACCTATATGCTAGTGTCTTTGAACAAAAATGTATTTTCTCATAGTCCTGTAGGCGAAAGGGCCAAATAAGAGTTTCAGATGTATCAAGCAGTGCCTTGCAGGTAGTGTCAAGTGTTCCATGAGCCTTTGGTTCGTAGATAATTTCAGGACATTGATTTCCCTGCAACACCACTCACTCACATGTGTGCATGTCGACTGCAGTATTTTCATAATTCAGAAGCCATTCAGTTTAAACTTTTTATGGGTTTACCCTATACTGACATGACTTCGAGTGATTATTTGGTTGTATTACATTAGATTGCACTGTAGAAAGCAATCTCCACTGCTTCAATAATGCATAGAGACACCAGACACTCACTGGCAGCACAATGGATTAAGCTTTGGGCTGCTGATCTTGGTGATTCAAATCCATCAGCCACTCCATGGGAAAAAAGATGCGACTGTCCACTCTGGGAAAAATTTACAGTCAGGGAAACCTAAAGAATAGTTTATAGTGTCCCTCTGAGTCAGAATTGACTCAATAGTAGGGTACAGATCCCTGGAACAGGAATTGAACACATATTCTGGGAACCATAATTCATCCCTAATAAGTTCTAAAATATTTCTATTTCATTTACTACTTATTCAATTAATACAATATATACTAAGTGCCTAACGAATGCTTTCTTGAGGAGGAAGCTTCAAATTGGCAGATAAAGCCAGAAACCAAGTGAAGCAGGTTTGGATGACAAACTGGTAACCCAAGAACTTGAACAGAAAGGATAGAGAAGTAGATGTCTATCAAATAGTAATAAGGGGGCTTTTTATTTTTCACTCTTTATTTTACTTTTATATTATTACTATCACTTTCTCCTTTCTGATTCATTTTGTTTTGATTTTAGCTGTTCATGTTAGGTTTCCCAGTTTATTAAAATAGAAGGAATGGATGAATAGAGACAACCATTGATGTAAGGGTTTACCAGAAGAGGGATGAGGAGGATAAAGGGAATAGGGGGGCAAACAATGAATGTGAGTGTGAGGAGGGATCACTAGACCTGATGGTGGTTATGTACATCCAACTCTTTGAAAAAGTGACTTCACAGTGAAAATGGATATATGAATTTTATATTGAGAAAACTACTTTAAAAAAGAAGAAGAAGAAGTAAACAAAGTTGACCAATGACAACCATGCATGAAGGAGGGAGAGTTTTTGCTTAGGGGACATTGAGTTTGTATTAATGGTGGTAGAATAATTTTGGTGAGGGGGAACTGTTGGTCAAAATAAATAAATAATAAGAGGAATAAATTGAACAAAAACAGACAACAAAAAGCAGAAAGCGGCCAACCTGCATAGTAAGGCGATTTCAAATGATTACAAGTAATTTTTCTGTCAACAAATTAATACAGAATCACTCAAATATCAATGAGAAGAAGAAATGAAACAAAAAGTCAACAAAAAGCAACAAGCTGCCAGTCTGCATAGTATAGCCATTTCGAATTATTGCAAGTGGTGTTCCAGTTAGCGCCGCCCACCCAGGAAGGCCACCTAGTCCATTGCAGCTCACAGCAGCCCTGAAGGACTGCCCTTTGGTGTTTCTGAGGCTGGAAGTCTTTCTGGGAGCAGGCAGCCTCACCTTCTTTCTTGAGAAAGACTAAAGGTGAACAAGGGACCTTATCATTAGCCGCCCTACACATAACCCACTACACCCGCCAGGGTGTTCTCCAAAATAAATCAAACAATCACACAAGCAAGAAAGAAACTGGATGGTATAGATGAAATCCTGACAGAAAAAAATAATTTCAACTTAAGAATTTTATATCTGTCCAAAATTTCCGTCAAATGTGATGACAAAACAGGACATTCTAATATAAACAAAAAATAAAGGAATTTGCAAAAACAAAGCCAACATAAAAAATGATAAGGAAAGTCCTTTAGACAAAGAACCAACAACTAGAGAATAAGATACACAACAACATTATTTGGTGATCAAACCAAAATTAAAAGTACCCCAAAAATTGCAAGATCCAAAATAGGAAATCAAATCACTTCTTAGCCTTTTGGCTAAGATCAAGGGTGAAAATAGAAAATCAGAGATGTTAATTTGTACACCACAACAATTACAAAGAAAAATGAGCAAATAAACAATGTAGCAACAGAGCTTCTAAATGGAGCAGAAGTCAGGGCAATATGAAGCTAGAACAGGCTGCTTGACCCTTGAGAAGATGAGAGCTTCCACTTCCAGCCAGAAGTGCAGTGCCAGAGACCCAGAGGGGTGGTTTTACTTGGTCCTATAGGGTCACTACGAATCAGAATCTATTCGACGGCAGTGAGAAACAAAGCTGCAAACAAAGTGAAAAAGCCATCTCACTAGAACATAAAAAGAGGATCAGATAACCAAGTGTCCATGAACACTAAAACAACAATGAGGAAAATGGTAAGCAAAGTTTTAACCCAAAGAACTCCATTCAAAAAACTACAGGACACAAAGAAATCATCCACACGACACACACACAATGACAGCAGTTAGTTTATACTTATCAACAATTACCTTAAATGTAAATGGATTAAATGCACTTGTAAAGATAGAGAGAGTACAGAACAGGTCCAAAAACAACCTATCAACATGCTGACAATAGACGATATACCGTAAACACAAAGCTAAAAAAATCAAAGAATAAAAAAAAAATATATATATATATATCAAGTAAATGGCCAC